GTTTCTACCACATGTTTGGCCACTGACCACTGGACCCAGCTTCCTTAGCAAGCATTTTTGTTTTCTCCTAATCTTTGTCCAATAGGTCGGCATGTCTCACCAACATAACATACACCACATGAACAAACAATCTTGTGACAGCCGGATCTCGATTTAAGTCATATTTCTTTCTAAAATATGGCAGGATAGAAAAAATTGTGACGAATTTTTTTGAAAAACTATTTATATCCCCAGTTTCTTACTAATTCGTCTATCTTTTTTGAAAGAAGGCATGACGGCAAAATTAGGACATGGGAAAAGGTCTTATTCTGTCTATCTTTGACTAAATGGTCTCTGTCTGAAAATTTTTTCCTTAGTAGATTGATATTGTTCTTAATAAGGCCCAAAATATAAATATTTTACACGAATATATTTGTCAGCTGTTCCAACTCTTCGGTCAAATCTTTACTATCCGCTAGTCTCATACTTCTTATAATCATTTACTTCGAAATTCTAACCTTATTCTTGTAACTATGGTTGGAAAGAAAATTAAGCAAAGAGACAACATATGATGGATTTCCATAAACATCTCTTCCAAACTTACTCTTTTTTCTAATAATGAGAACATCCAGAAAAGGTAAGGACTTATTCTCTTCCATTTCCATCGTGAACCTAATGTTCCTTTCACATTGAGTGAGTGCAAGTAGGAAATTATCTAAAATTTCCTTGCCATAAGGCCAGATGACAAAATAATCATCCATGTATCTAACCCACAATTTGGGTGTTAGTATTGCTTCTTGCTGGGAGCGTTCCTCCAGTCTTACTACATAATTGTTCGCCAAGCTGGGAGCCAGGCAAGATCCCATCGTTTGTCCTTGTATTTGTTCGTATAACTTAACATCAAAGGTAAAATATGTGCTATTCATGGATGGATTAAAAACTTTCATACAAAATGAAAGTCCCCCCAACAATGTTATCTCAGGAGATCAATCTCTTCATATCTACGATAATAAAATGACTGAGCTTTATGCACTCATTGCAAAGCTAAATCCTCTTTTAAATTATACTTTAAAGGAGACCCATATGCTTGAGTATATTGCAGTATACTGAAAGTGGAATGGAAATCCAATATTAAGCCCGACTAGTGGTTACGAAATGGCAACTAATTGTTTGTATATTGCGATACTCAATGCTTCAATAATCGAAAATAAGCTCCTCGTGAATAAAAATCGGCATGGACAGAGACCTTACATTTATGGAAACTTCGGCTCAATAGTTATTGCTGGCAAAATGTCAACTAAAGATGGCAAAAAAACCTATTTAGTCGAAAGGATAGGTAGAGTGAACCCCAGATTATGTAAGAGTTGAGAAAATTCTTTAAAAATCGTAAAAGGAACATTTGGTTCACAATGGAAATGAAAGAGGATAAGTCTTTACTCTTTCTTGATGTTCTCATCATTAGAGAAGAAGGTAAGTTGGGAAGAGATGTTTATAGGAAGTCAACTTATGTTGACTCTTGCTTACTTTTCTTTCCGACCATAGTTACAAGACTAAGGTTGCAATTTTGAAGTAAATGATTATTAGAAGTATGAGGCTAGCGGATAGCAAAGATTTGACCAAAGAGTTAGAACGGCTGAAAAATTTATTCCCGGAAAATAATTTTCCTTGGAGCCCAATTGAGAATAATATATCTTTACTAAGGAATACACTTTCAGACGGATACCATTAAATCAGGCTGAGACCTTTTCTCATGTCCTAATTTTGCCGTAATGTCTTCTTTCAAAAAAGATAGACGAATTGGTAAGAAAGTTGTTGATAAAAAACAGTACATAAAAGAAACCATCACACTTTCTTTTGTTATGCCATTATCGAGATCCGGCTCATATTGGTGAGACATGCCAACTTATTCGAGAAAGATTTGGAAAACACAACAATGCGTATGAAGTAAGCTGGCCAAACATGCTAGAAACAGGATATCATATAGAATGGTCTCAAATTAGGAGATTTGCTGATTATGGTACGTACGTGGTTTAAAGAAAGATAAGAGAGGCTATTGAAATTAATAGCTTAAAAAATACGTTGAATCTGAGGAACGGTGGTAGAAATTTGAGTGGGAAGCACTTATGCTTGATTGATAGACGGAAAGAGAGAGAAGGTGTTGCGCGGCCGTCAAAAGAAGGCAACTCAATTTGTCTGCTCGGTGATGGCTCTACCTTCACTCACATTCGTCCAACATGCTAGAGTGAGCTCATTAACCAAACCAGACATGTCAGATTTCGCAACCCTACTCTTGCCTTTCCTTGGATGGTTGAACCTTAGTGACCCTAGACTAGAGGTTATGACAAGTAGATTCGTAACTTGACTTACATTCTTACAAGCTCATATCTCATTATCTCAACCATACCTGCCTACGGACTTAAGCATTCTCGGTCAGGGCCTTCTTTTGGGTCATTAGGCCTTGTTGATCAGAGCCTGACTTTAGCCTTTTGATAACTCTGATTTTGGACCGGTAATGCGTATAGCCGAT